TTTAAATCCTTTTTAAGTCCTCAACGACTATGCAAATCAGGAAAGTCAGAATGGAACCAGAATTCCTAATTTGCATACTTGTTCCAGATCAGTGAATCAGAAAAGATTGAAGCCAGTGGCTCATCCACAACCAGGCAATGAGTATTTTCCAAGGGAAACGTCAGCGACGGCAGCCCCTATATTCTATGAGCACAAGCTGCCTTTAAATGTTTGACCGAGAAAGCGATACATTTTTAGATTTTCAGTGGTTGTTATACGTTGGAGGTCATATCCTCGGACAGAATTAATGACTTATGGTGAGGATATAAACAGACACCAACAGTAGAACAGTGATATTCTGACAGTTTGTAGAAAAACAGATGACTGGCCGAATGAGTCAGTGTTTATGTTTATACAGCAACACCGAAGACATAAACAGCTCCCAAGAACAAACCAAAACAACACAGAAACACAACAAGTCCTGTGCAATATAACTGACATTACAGGTGCGACCAGGCGTGTTTCCACATGTTTCTGTGTGTTCCAGCCCGTCACGTGTAGGGCAGCCCATTCATTTCAATGGGCTGCCCTCCATGTGAGAAACGTGGAAAACAATTCCCTGACTCTTTTCCAAAAATGCACTGCACCAAACTACATGGAGCTACGGTGCTATGAGGTTTGGCACATATGAAATTGAGCAGCACAGTGGCTAAATGGTTAGCACTTCTGCCTGGCAGTACTAGGGTCATTAGTTCGAATCCCAACCACGGTACTCCAGTTTCCTCCCACACTCCAAAGACATGCTGATAGGTTAATTGGATCCTGTCTAAATTGGCCCTAGTGTATGATTGTGAGTTAGGGACCTTAGATTGTATCCCCCTTGAGGTTTAGGGTCTGATGTGAATGTAAAATATATATATAAAGCACTACATAAATTGATGGCGCTATACAAGTACCTATAACCAGGGGTGGACTGACAACTCATGGGGCCCCTGGGATCCTTAGAAGAAGAACTGCACCATCTTTGTTCAGGCATTATCCAGGGTAAGCTTCTACTTTCTGGACTCACAGATGATACAATCAAGTACTGTAAATACTGAGGGCGGGGATGAACCTCTGTTCAGCATGTCTAGGGGAGCAGATCGGAAGTGGGAGCAGGTACTTGTCAGAAAGAAACAACATCCAGAAGTGGTAGAAGAGGGGAGGTGGGTGGAAAAATAGACGTTCTTTTTTTAGGTGAAGTTTTATATATACAGTGGCTCAATCGAGCTGGATGGAGGAGACATCAGGCAGAGAGCATCAAAAGACAAACACGCACAGCTGGAATTCAATGTGAAGCAATGTCCACTGAACAAGTGGTGGTAGTGGATAACGTGGCAGAGCACACATTGGTGCCATGGAGAGGAAAGGAGGAAATCTCAGATTGAGAGGTTGAAAAACAGCAAGGGAGAAAGTTGTTGTGTGACAGAGGCACCCTGCAAAATCTTTGTGTTGGCACTGCCCCAAAGGCAAAGGTCTGTGTTACCCAGTTCAGCCACCTCTGTGGTGTGGCCCCTTTGTATTGTATCCACCGCAACACCTCTATGCACTGGAATTCCACTGTAAATATGCTGCAGAGGCCACAACAGCAGTGAACATGTAGTACTTTTATGAGTATGTAGTACCTTTACGAGGATAAAGACAAGCTCTGGGAAGTTTGGAAATTTTTCACCCCAGTTGTAGCTGCCCATCAAAGACGATTGCAGCATTTCAGCCCCCTTTGAGGAGGCGACTAAAATGGTGAGTAGTGATCAAGTGGGGAAAAGTGACACCACTTTCCTAGTACTTTTCCTTGAAAACATGCTGTATTGCCTGATAGGTTGTGCATGGGAGGCACAGCAGCTAGAGAAACAAGAGGATCTGATGCTATTTGGGGACCCCGGAACAGGCCTCTGGACACTGCCTTATTACCTGGGATGCAGAGGCAGCAGGGGGCCTAGGAGAGGTTGGAGGAGGAATGTAGACAGGTTTTTAACCCTTTCCAAACCCTGGGAACTATACACAGTTGAGGTGAGCAGTTGGAGCACAACATTGTTCTCAATGTCCCTAGAAGCTGGGCATTTGTGCATATGGGATCATATGAGTCAGGCAAGGATCCACACATTCAAGTGAACAAGGAGAGGAACCATTATTGGGTGTCAACCCTCTTTGATCCCTTGTACAAGAACAAACTGGGCGATCTTCCGCTACCAATTCCAGAAAATTGGACAGACTTTTGGTGGACTTTTCAACATTCCCAAATCCTAGACATTATACAGTCACAGGACAGCTTTGTCCTCCATGACACCTATGTTGCTGATAAAAAAAAGCTTAACACTTCCCAGAAACCTGTAAATCATTTGTGTATCTTCAATGTAGCCCTTGAAGGTTCTCTCCCTGCAGTATATATATATTGTGACAGTATGAACGGCGAGGTGATCGATGGATGCTATGTGTCACCTCACATGTGATCATACTTAGGAGTTTAAGGTGAAATCCACTCCAGGTTTTCTGGGCCACTATGGCAGAGGTGGTTCCGGACCTGATTTTGTGGTCCACTGATGACCACCAGCAGGTGCTATAAATAAGGCAGGGCTGGAAGCAAGGAGCTGCTCATGGCCTGGGACTCAGAGAGCTGTTCCTGATAGTTATACAAACAAGAAAAGGTTTGCGTAGGCTGGCCATACATTATACAATTATCTTCCAATTTTCTGCCCCATTTCCTTTAGATTTACCTTCAACTGTGTAGTGCAAGGGCCTGCTTAATTGGATACAACTGAAAGTGTTGTTTTAGGTTTGTCCTCCTATTATTATATGGTTTTTGGTAAATCTAAATCAAAAATCTCCAGATAATTGTATAATGTATGGCCAGCCTTATTGTTTCATTTTTGTTGGTGACAGGGAGAAGCCCTTCACCAATGAGATAGGAAAAGTTCTGTATTTAGTTAGTGCCTGGATGACAAGGGTTTATTTTTCTGTTATGTTTGTTTTGATATTTTGCAAACCTTGGAATAAAACAGATGACCAGTCAGATTTTAAAGAGAGCCTGCTGTGCGGTTTATCTTTCTCCCAGGGAAGGTGATTTCCCCCCCCCCCCCCACCTGAGCTAACCCCACTATATATATATATATATATATATATATTTTTTTCTGTATTAGTACATGCTACCCATAGTGCTGCACGGCTTTCTATTCCACTCTTTTGACAATAATTAGTTCCACAAAAGGAACTAATTGAATATCAAGATCCCCCTCCCCATAAACTTCAATTAGGTTTAGGGATATGTTTGGATTTTCTGAATTTTTAAAAACATTTCACAACAATGACACAAACGGAACCTGGGCAGATTCACTCATCCCTACTCAAAATACTTTCCTTTTACATTATTTAGGCAGCCTTCCTTCGATGAGACTCCTTTTACCTGTGGAAAGAGATGTTTGCATTGTTTTTGTTGCCTGGAAACCATTTCCATATGTTATCAAATATGTATATTTAATAATATACAAATACTGTAAAGGGATAACAGTGCAAGAAAGGGTGCTTATTTATTATTGTTACAAAAACTTTTTTTTAAATAGTGCACAGAATATCACACATCACAATATAAAACAAAATAGAAAACTAAAGTGTATGGACATCATTAGTTACAAGTATTTCTATAATAATAATTATACAAAATAGGCTACCATTTACAAATCTTTGCTTTTGTATCAGATTTTAAGAACAGATGCTAAGCTGCATTAAGTAAATTTAAAGCAGAATTTTAGCCCAAGCTATTATAACTTTAATGCTTTGGATTAATGTATAATTAAGGGCAAAACTTCTTTTTTTAGTTTTGGATAGAGTAGAGGGGGATCAGAACACCTGTCAGATTTTCATTGATGTCTGTGCCCCTGCTAGGGAAATTCACCCTCCCTATTTGTCCCATTTAACACTGGATTCACATTAGACCGCACCCGTTCCCGCACTCCCAACCACCTGTAGCCGAATTGCGCTGCTCTTGCGAGATGCATGGGGCTGCCATTCTTAGCCCGCAGCACAATCGCAGGTGCGAGAACAACAGGGAAACTGCATGGTCAAAAGGACCATGTGATTTCTCTAGAGCCGCATTTTTAAAAAGGTGCATGCACCTTTTTTGTGCGCGACACGTGGCACAACAGCCCATTCAAACCCTAGCAAACATGGGCAACACAGCCCCCATTAGTGTGAACCAGGCCTTAAGTTGAAATAAAATGCCAAATTTTGGGTTGTCACTAAAACAGGAATAGGGAAAAATCTTCCTATGAGGACACTAGTTCTGGTGCCCCTGGTGACAACCAGTAGTTCCCTCACTTTGGAGGGATTTTCTCATACTTATATTGCTTATGAGACAGGAAGTGATGGGAAAACTTCCCCAAAGGGACACAGATGGCAAAAAAAACAGGGGTTATAATCCTTCCTTACTCTATCCAAATGAAAAAAAAAATGGTTTGCCCGTAATTCTACTTTAAGTGGAAAGTGAGCACCTGGGTTAGAAAAGGAAAAAGTGGTATGATTGGGAAGTAATCTAAAATCGTCCCACCATTAAAAACTAAAGAACCATTCCAATAATGCCCCATAAGGTGGAATCTCACATGGCTCATCTGACCTTACATAAATCCACTTATTTCAGCTAATTTTTCTTGAAGCTCCAAGGATTCACACACACTGAAACCAAGCACCTAGCTGGTTCTTCATCTGCCCATCTGATAGCACTAAATATGATAGTCTCTCTACAGAACTTCATTGTCCTTGTGTATCCAATCTAGAAGTACAGACCCAGTCCTTCCATTACACAAGAAAACACAGGATAGTTAGCCAGTAGCAAAATCTTTGGTATTTAACAAACTGTCCACTTTTGTCTACCAAAATTTGCGCCATAAAAAGACAGCTGAGGATAACCCCTGGCTGTGTGCTGAATTCTTTGTGCCTTCCCCTGAGTCACAGAAGCTAAATTCTCGTATTTGGTCAAAGCAAGATATGTTCTAGCAGACGCAACAACTCAGCGTGGAGCAGTCCATCTTGGCAGGGGTGCCTCCGTTTCCCGCTTTCTTGTTGATCTTGGGAAGAAGCAACACAAAGGACATGGCCAAAGAGCAGTGGTAGAAACTGTGCACATAGGTGTAATCCCATTCCTAAAGATGCAAAATTCGAAAGTTTAAAATGTTTCCAGCAATAAAACACACAAAAATACACATCAAAAGAAATGTAAAAACACAGGAGAATATATTCTTTTTATTTTTTGTGTCATTTATTATAATTATTTTATGTTTTTAAGACTTGGTGTATGCTTAGATTACTTTGTTTACCAAAAGGCCTTGATCACCGTGTCTGTGACCATTGTCCTTGATGACATGGAAATCACATGACTTTGTTAATCAACAAACTTATGTCACAGAAGCTAGAAAAATGCCAATACTAATCGTCATTTTCAAGAATATTTTGGCAAAAGTGAAATAACAAATTTTGCTACATATTTGTCAGAATGTCTCCACTCATTCCCATGTGCCTATAATTCAAATACACAATAGAAAAGAAGTAAACACTTTTGTTACCTCAAAGAAAAAACGCAGCATTAATGCCAGAGCACCAAAGCAGAATCCGGGACCTATCTGCTGTGTGTACACGCTCTTGTCTGGGTAGAGGCTTTTTGTCTCCTTCATTTTGGTCAGCTGTGACAAAATGTAACAAAACATTTGATATTACAAAACTGGATTGTAGCAATAAAACAAGCACATGCAGCAGCTTCTATAGGGACTATCTCTGATCAGATTTATTAGTACTTGTCTATTTGTCTTGTTGCAACAAAAACAATTTATCTTTATGTTTATTAGCTAGAACAAAGGATTTTAAAATGGATCACAAGCCATTTTTTTTCCTTAGTTTTGCATACAGTAGGGAGAGGTGAGATCCCTCATTTCATGTGCCTGTAAACTTTATAGCAAGAGACTATTACCCTGAAGAAGCTATGACCCTTCTTCACTTCCCAACTAAAAAAGGATAACGTGTTCGGAATCCCACTATACCATTTTAAATGTTATGGTCCCTCAGCTGAAATATTTTGTATACAATGTGGTGTACAGTCTTGAGGTGGGGGTGAGTTAGGTGAAGGGGGGGGGGGGGGGGGGGGGTTGTGGGGTCAGTGCAAAAATACCCTTTATTTGTATGAATAATATTAAAAAACCTTAATATTATGCATTAGTGGAATTGCTAAATGTCTGATTAGAAACAATAGTCTAATAGTAATTCTCCTGTGCTTCACCAACAACGGTTTGCCTATGCAGACAAATGTGGTTGCTCACAGGCGCTTCCTGGAACCGTTGTCGGTGCCTGTGCTAGCAGTACAGCAAAACCCAGTCTGATCCCGTCCACATCCCACTTGGCCCCACCCCATCTCACATAGATCTGCATAGTCCCACCCAGTCCTGCATGGTCCTGCCCCCCCCACTCAATGATCACTCCCTCTGGCAGCAGAAGAGAAGGCATGTCACTTCCAAGAGTGACACTCCTAGGCAGAAAGAGACACACCAACTGGCCGACCTTCCCCTGTGAAGGGAGAGGCATTGCAATCACCTGACAGCAGTGTATAATAAAGGAAAAAAGGTACAAAATTAAGACGTTTAAAGATGTAGACATACAGAGGGACTTTTATTGCTTAAATGATCTGGGATTGTTTACGCACAAGCCTTTCCTTCCACTCTAAGTATCTTCATATTAACAATGGTGTATGGGGTCAGTCCACCAAAACTCAGTACAACAGTAGTTGTTTTCTTACAAGTCTACTTATATGATTACAGTCACCTCAAGGAAAATCTAAAAATTTCATTGAACCTATGCAGTGCCCTGAAAAATATACCTGTTGTCTTAAGTTCCTATAGAAAATTAGAAGATGCAGGCACTCCCATGTTACCTTAACCCTCATAGGTGTAGTTCTACAGTGTAAGATCATCTGAGGCACTGCTGGTTCTGAATGTTAGTCACACCAGATTCAGAGTGAGATTTGATGATGTCAGCGCTGAACTGCTCACTGTTTCCTTTGCTGAAGGGCAAGCAGTACATGAGGACCTTCAGTGCAAGGATCTCCCTGCTTCTGCTTCATTCATTTTGTGGATTTTTGCTATATGCACTTCTTCTACTGCTTTGTGAATATTCCCCCACCAGCTATTAGGTTACCTGTAACAGTAGATATGTTGGATATCTCCTTGAATGTCCTTGTCAAATTCAATATGAAGGACGCACCACTAGACGTCTGAGAGATAGGTTACGTGAACACGTAAAAAATATAAAACGTGGTTATAGGGAACATTCTTTGTCTAACCACTATAGGCGGTACCACAACAAAGACCCAACCTCATTAAAGTTTATAGGTATAGATGTAGTAAGACCTCCTTGGAGAGGGACACACAAAAGAAGAGCAGTGTCCCAGATTGAAATGAAATGGATACATGAATTGCGTACTTTACATCCCAATGGACATAAGGTTAACATTAATTGTTTTATTGAAAATAGCTGAGGTATTAATGGCGCTGCAGTCCTATGAGTTTCTGTCTATTTTAGTCTGTTTATTATAGTTAATTTTTTACTATTAGACCTATATCTCTTTTTTATGGTTTAAAAGGATTATAACATATTTTCATTATATTATGTCTATTTTATATTGGATTTATGGTTGTCGGTGGTTAAAGATGGTTTAACCATACATAGGCTACGCTTTACATAGGGGTCACGTTTGACAGTGATCTTTCCTTTTTTTACTTCAGGCCTATTCTATTCCATATTCTGAATACTGTTTTTTAGATGGTAGCGTTGTTTTTTCTACAAAATATTTTTTTTCACCAATTTATTACACGTTCTAACTGGATTATTATATTGAAGTTTATATATATATTTTTATAAATTTTTTATACATTTATACATATTTTATGGCAATATGAGTCTATGGAATGACCGATTTTAATATTATCATGCAGCCTATTAATCACATTTTTTAATCAATTTACCCATATATACAAATATATATTTTACATGACTTATTTTTCTTATAATTTTTTATCTGGTCATAATTTGTTGTATTTTAGAATTAATATCTTGAGATTTAGATTGATTCAGGCCTGGGGTGAAAAATCCTTCTTTTTTCCATGGTAGTACTCGTTTCTATTAAATTTTCATTTTTTCCTGGAATGTTACCTTAAATGAATTCCCAACAACACCTAAGGTCATGTATAATTAAGAACAAGTTAATTCCATTACATATATTATACTTGGTAAACCAATCCCTTTATTGATCGGATCTGACATCTAACAATTTTATGTACCATGGAAAAATGGTGTCTGCATACATTCAGATGCACCCATATTCAGACCTCCACCAAAATGGCGGCGGTGCAATGCACATGCGCGGATCTATGATGGCGACCGCATAATGCGCACACGCCGATCGCTATATATAAGGTGGCGAAGGACGTCACGGTGTGATAGGCGGCACCCTTCTGAAGATGTGCGTGCGCACAAAATGCATTAGGAGTAGTCGCATCACGCCGTTGACGTCACGCCGCCAAAGTAACGTGGAGCTCCAGCGGCCATCTTTTATCCTAGGACGGTCTGTCCAATGCACTTGTACTTACTTTGTACTCACTTGGATTTTGATGCATCATTTTTAACCTCATATTATCTTAATAAATCCTTCATTTGTTATCATACTGCACTATGGAGATGTCCCTATTTTAACTCCCTGAGGGAGTTTTAACATGCAGACACCTGACTATCCTACACCCAGAGAAGGGACCTCTCATCCAGGGAGCAGCACCCATGTCACCCCTTTGGGGGACACTCTGGCAGATGAGGATCATCCCTTAACTCCATTTGGGATCCCTTTGATAACCCAACCCTTGGAGGGAAGACACCCCCTTAATTCCTGGCTTGCTTTGATGACCGATTGGATTTAATACAGGCGTATTTTATATGCGCGTCCGTGAGTGTGCATTCTATATACCATTTGCACAGTCACCGATTCCATGAAGCATGCACTTTAAAGAGCACTGTTTTCACTTTATGAATTACTTATCAACTGGAATAATTACTGTTGACTGATCATTTTTAGCTAACTATTTATTCAAATATTTATTAATCAATTCATTTATATACATATTTTTTAGCGCTGCACATATTTTATATCACCAGTCATCACAGAATATCTCTGATATAAAGAAGCAAAGCCCTGCCTCTACCAGGATTGCCTTCTCTACCCAGAGGCACAGTAGAGAACAAGTCATTGTAAGTCAGGAATGGGGAAAAGATCAGCTGTCTGCAAACCACAGAAAGCACTGGTGGCTAGTCCTTTGCCTACCCTTTTCAATCACTGCTTCCAGGGTTTAGGTCCTTCTTAAAGCACCTGACAATTTATTCTAGTTCTTCAGAACTCTAATGGTGACTTCCAAGGTCACTCGCCAGCTGTGGACAGTATGAGTGGCTCCCAGTTTCCATGCTGGAATTTTAATTGCTTTTATGGAAAATGAAAGACCAGAACTTGGCCATAATCCACCTATATCTGAGAAATATGTTTTTGGTAGATAAACATTTCCTAGAAGTGGAATGTGACTAATTGACTGCCTGGTGGCATTACTCACCCACTTGACAGTAATTACCAGCACTGCTGTACCGATAGGCCCTGAGTAGACGCCATATCCAAAGCGATCTTGATATATTGTCACTGCAATGGTAAGGACTCCGAACATGACAAGTGTGGACCTCTTGGGCTCATCAAACTCTGCCAATGCTAAACAAACAACAGTGGTAAAAAGAAGTTTACTTATGCATACTTCAGCACTTCTACATGTGCAAGAATGCACAATATATACACCCCTAATGCAGGTAGTATTAGGGGAGTACATAGTGTGGATTAATCTATAGTCATGCTACACACAGAAACTGACTTTTGTCCTCATATACTTTCCTAGTCAGGTAAATAGAAAATTGCTACATATAAATGTTTCACTTATTACTGTACTGTGATTCATTTAACTGCTATGCTGTGAATAACCTGATGTAATTTGATCTCTTGCTGTTCACTAAACAGCTGTATGAGTCAGCAGAGGTTCCCCCCCCCCAATGCCCCTCTTCATGGCCTACATATTGCTGTTTAGATTTCCAGTTAGACAGATAGGGGTTTATTTACTAAAGCTGGAGAGTTTAACCCATTTGCGCCAGCGCCTCCCAGCCCTTTAAGAGTGCACCTATAATAAAAAACATCATATAGAAACTTACAATTTAAACATACAGTATAGAGATAAGATCACTTACATTAAAGCTGAATGCCAGGCTGAAGATTAATACACAAGTGGTAATGTATCTTGCTGTATATTGGAACTGTTTCGCCTGCCAAAGGATTTGTAATTCTGCTTTGCCAGTGTTGCAATCTTGGCATCCCTGCCAGACAGCACAGCCAGACCAATATCTATTACAGCAGCACATGGCATCATCCCTACTGTAGACGTGTATTGACACGAAACGCGTCTAGGAGGAGCCTTCGCATGCCTTGACGTCATGCCGCCGGATCAGGAGGTCAACCCTTGATTCTCACTGGTCAGTGTTTTAGATGTTCTTTACAGCCTCTTTAACTGGCTACAGGCTGCAGGCATGTGCTTTGTAATTTTTATCTGTTTTTTACACATTGGATTTAATAAATTTTTTATGTAAAATTACTACACTATGAGCACCTTTACTTCTTATACCTGGCACTGAGCCCCCATACCTCAGCCCCAGCATTTTTAGGCTTCTGCGTGGATCCAAGGAGCAGTGTGATCTGACCAGACCAACATCCCCACCAATATACCACCAGGGTACTACCAAGCAGCGCCTGCATGAGAACTCGGCTACATGTGACCTGCACATGCGTATTGAGATTGCGCTTCTGGTAAGTGGGCAATCTACCTACTCCTCGATATTGGATTGGATTACACCAGCGTTGTTGGAAGTTTTTTCATAATTGAACTGCTTACCACATCTGATACTATTGCATTGGACAATTACCTTTTTTCGCGAGTCATTTTAACATAACTACCATAAGGATATTGTTTGTAGCGCTTCACTTTTATTTTGTCAATTACAGCAGCACAGCTTAGTCAAGAACACACCCCATGCCTGCTGATTGGATAGTGAAGCAGCCACACATTAGTTAGGTCTCTATGCACATTCTGCTCTCTCCTTTAGTCAACATGATTCCTATATAGCCCAGCAGAACCCCACTGGGGATTAACAGGAGGATGACAACAGTGCAGATTCAGGCACTTACACCACATTAAAAATTAATATTTTAGGTGGACCTTTGTCCAGTGAGTTTCCCTAAATTAAGATGATGCCATCAGTCTGCAGGCAGGATAAAGCATTTGCTTAATATACTTTCCCCAATGATCAGACTGCCTCATAATCACAAATTGAGAGGCTGCAGTAGGGGCTAATCTGTGTCAGACATTTGTGAACACAATGGCCTTCACCAGTCTTTTTTGGCTTTCATATGCCTCCAACAAGATAAGTGTACTACCTCTCTCACTGCAGAGAACTTGCATTTGATTTATTTGGAGACCCAGCAGGGTTTTTCTTAAATGTGAAAAACTATATCTGATGCTAGGTGCACTGTAATGTACACACAACTGGGTTATTTTTGTTACCTGCCTGCAGTCCACCTGAATGTTGTTAGCCTTTAAAATGCAGCAGATTCCCTTTAAACTTTTGACACCCTTTAGCTATTTACTTCTGCTTCTTAGAAGATAAAATCATCTCTGGGACCGACACACTTACCTATCAGTGACACCCACATGGACAAGGCTGTGCCGTAGATACTGAAATATTCCAGCAGATCATATCTCATGAAGCAAATCACGGAGAGGCCGGGGCCTTCACAGGCATGGTACATCTACAAAGACAAGAGAGGCAGATGATTACTAGAAGCAGTGGATCCTAAAAATTCCACAGCAGTGAAAGGGTGTAGAGCCACAGTTGTTGTTGATCTAAGGGTAGTCACAGCTGAGGGGCAAATGGTTAAAAGGCCTGAAAGACATTTCCCTATCAACTGTCTGGAGCACTCTACAGTGTCCCAAAATACTCAGGAATTCCACTGTTCATTGTTATCTGCTGGAGCCCAGCAGATTCATTGATGTAAAATACAAACCGCACAAACTTACGTGAGGATGAAAGGCGTCAGCTGTGCACATGAAGCGTCTGAGCTGCAATGACAGTGTGACATGGCCCTCAGTGAAATGCCTCATTGTTCGTCACAGCCTGGATTTCACTAAAATAGGAAAAACAGCCACCATGCCTCACATCGCCTGAGGAGTGTGCAATTGAGGATGACTATAGGTGGGTCTTCCTTATGCTTGTTCCAGGGCTGTGGAACTGAATGTGTTCAGTATCGCCTCCAGCAGCGTCATATCATCTGTGTATAGGCAGATGCAGCCTCTTTCCTGGATGAAAGAAGGTCTGGGCTGAGGCAGAGAAAATTGAGAATTCTTCACCATATTCCCTCCAGCTCTTCTAAAGAGATGGCTGGTTCTCTTTTAAGAGACCCTGTCAGGCAGGAGACAACCTGACATCTTCTGTCTCAGGTTTGCACACTAAGGATGTTTCTGTATTTAAAACGGATCTCCCCCCACCCCATTTTTTTTCTTTTACCCCTGCTTATATGGGATCTGCTTGTTTTCGATACTCATCCATTCAGCTGATTCAGCACTGTCCTGCTCTCATGCTCTGCCACCGCTCAGTCCCCCACGCTGCCATGTTGTTTCTGAAGTTATCAAGAGGCCCACCAGCTCTTCAAGGTTCAGCAGACAGGCCTCCTGATGTTGCGCCACTAGGCCCCCCCCCTTCTCTGTGAATGAAACAGCAAGGCCTCCTGGGATTATTATTATTATTATACAGGATTTAGATAGCGCCAATAGTTTGCTCAGCGCTTTACAATATAAAGGGAGACAATACAGCAACAATACAGTTCAATACAAGATGGTTAGGAGGGACTTGCTCCTTGGAGCTTACAATCTAAAAAGGCCCTGCTCCTTGGAGCTTACAATCTAAGAGTGTGATCTACATATCCCAGGAGACATAGCAGACACAGAACACATAATTCACCTAGGCAAATAACCTGTATTGAAGGCAAGACCAAATACTTTTTCTGAAAAAAAAAAGTTTAACAAATAAAAAATCCCCTATATATGTAGTGCGGGGGAGGAGTGGACAGGAGGCACTTTCGATTTATGGGTGAAGATCCACTTTAAAAGGGTGATTGTCAACACAGGCAGTCCAGGAGGCAGAAATAATACCGGCATGCTTAGCAAGCCACTGCAAACGTAGGGTGTGATCATTTAGATATGGGATCTTGCTATTTTGCATAATGTGACTTTTCAGGAATACCATGTATGAATAATGCCTTTCCCTATAGTAGGCATTTTTTTTTGTCTATACATCTTGGCAAACACAGTTACAGATACAAATATACTCCATACTGTAACAGCAAATGGAGGAACAAGTACATAAATAAGTCAACTGATTCTAGAAATCACTCTTTAAACCAATGTCCTATGAGAACATTCAGCATAAGTTAAGGTATAAAAAAGACACAAGGAGGATTTCATATGTTATGGCCATCTGCATACCCACTTGTGGTTCCCCAGCTGTGGGAAAACAATAGGTTTTTTACTCCAAACTATGTTCAGGTTGCTTTCACTGGATCCAGCCCTCGGGGATTGGCAACCAATAATGGGCCTTTAATAAAGAACATCAATGGATTTCCAAGTATATAGATAAGTATCTAACGTCCTGGAGATGTCTTATATAGCATTGTACTGTATATAGATAAACAGGGGGTGCCAGCATACCAACAGCCAATGAGAGATGCCAAAATAAAGAGCCTCCCACTCCTTTCCCCATTGCAGATATGTCAACCTGGTAAAAAAGTTTACAGGATAGCGCATGCAATGTGACAGAAACTGGGCGTGGCTAAATATGATAAGGTATGGATTAAAAAGGGATACTGCATCATGTGTACATACAAAGAACGGAAAGCATGTATTTATGTCTAGTGTGTCTAACAAAAGTGCATGTACCTTTTTCAAAACCCGCCCGCAGGGAAATCGCATGGTCACAAATTTCCCTACGCTTCCGGCACACACGCTACTTTTTACATGCATGGGGTGCCATTCAGAATGAATGGCCGCCCTGCATGTTTCCTCACAGCAGCATGTTTCCATTATGAGTGGTTGCCCGATTCCCGCACCTGCAGCCACCTGCACAGATGTGAACCGAATCAACTGGCAATCAATTAAAATCAATTGTGCAAATGTTTCTCTGACATCATGCACATGTGATTGTTTTTGAATCTGATTCATTCAGATAACAATAGAGGTGGAACAATTTTGAAAATATAATCCAATCTGCTTGATCTCTAAAGCCTTGTACCCACGGACTAAAAAATCTGCCAAAATTAGCCAGTTCGGCAGGAACTGGCTGACTTTCGACCCATGTGTACAGCTTCTGTTATACAGTAGCTTGTTTTACAAATGGCTTCTGTTGGACAGGCATGCTGGAAAACCAGCATCTGACCTGCATCCGATCAACGCTTGCAGCCAATTGCTGCAAACGCTGTGTGTGTTCTGGCAGGGAGCAGTCCCCCTGTCAGAACACCCAGGCAGAGCAGGGGACATTGCTGCACTAACATCGCTTGTTAGTGGCCGTTTAGTTAAATGAAAAAAAATTCTATTGTGCACCCAGATTTACAATATGTGATTGATAATTATAATAATAATGATATATTCGGAATATATTCAGACCTACAAAATGTACATATAAAAATAGTTATGCTTTGTGCCCTGTTTGACTACTTGTCTTTGTAAAGAAAGCTGTATTATGTTAAATAGGGTGAAAAAAAGAGTTGACCCAATAGACAAAAGAAAATCCTAATCCTAAAGTTGATCAATTGAATGGCAGAAAACCTTTCTGATCTCCAGAGGTAATCAGATACGCCTGTATCAAAATTCTGCAATATCATGTCTTATAAATATTTGTAGATATTTATCTTTTGTGCATTTAGAAATTAATCCAGCCCTTTATTGAAACAATCTGCAACTCAAATCCTGCTCCTACAGTGAAGAATCCTTTCCATCTTTTTCATCTTTTCATAGAATTCTTTTCCTCCAGTGGTAAAAATTACCTTGTTCTGCGCTAATTCTGCCATGTTGCATAGGGTCTTGTTTATAAGTGGTTGAAGGGCGATCTGTGTGTGTTGCCCATAGTAACCAACCAAACCTCAACTACAGTATTTTTAATTTCTGATTTGAAGATGATTTGTTGCAATAAGCAACCAGCAGATCCTTCAGACAGAATCAGAGGTCAAATTACTACCGATGATGATGATGATGATGATTATACAGGATTTATATAGCGCCAACAGTTTGAGAAGTGCTTTGCAACATAAGGGCGACAGTACAATTACAATACAGAAGGAATAGGAGGGCCCTGCTCATGGAAATCTAAAGGACATAGACTGCCTTGACATGAGATATATGACTGACCTCTACAGTTTTCAACACATTTGTGATATGTGTATTGCCTTTCTAGTCAACACACAATGGGCAACAGTAAGAAACCAGAATAAAAGAAGCCTTACCGCAATGAAAAACATGGTGAAAAAATATACCATAGCCTCCATGTGGAACTTCCTCTTGGCTGCAATGCTGATGGTGGGTACCAGTGCCAGGCTGCTGATGGTCGGTAAGAGAATCTTTGCTAATATAGAGCCCATAGCGATGAACTATTATGGTTTAATCAGAGACAGTGACTGGCGTAGAGCAGCACATGGGGACTGACTGAGTGCAGGGTAAGAGGGGATTTAAAATTTAAAGGGACCAACAGGTGCTTTACAAGAGGAGGGGTGGGGGACTGTGACAGCTGATGGCAGACTCCCTCTCCAGCTGGTACAAGATTCAGCACATACTATCCCTTCATGCTTATAATCTGTACACATTGCAACATCATCATATGCAATTATTTAATATAAACATATACATTCCGATTCCTTCTTTACCTGATTCTCTGCTGATAATGGCAGAGGAATAAATTAGAGAGAGATAACTGTCTACACTTTGGTAAATGGAACTTTTGTTGAGAGAAATACAGAGGCTGTCTTTACTGTCCTCATGAAATGCTGGTTTCTTGGCTTTTATGTTGACCCTCTGAGGGTTATATTACTTTTAACCCACCCCTTCCCCTCTATCCCCCTTCCCAACCCAGAACAAGTAGGCTATTGCCACATATTGGGTCCTGGTCAGCACCGAAAACAGAGGATCTTCCCTTAGGTCTCATGTACATAGGGCTTAAAAATGCCTCTTTAACAAACATTTGACATTTTTTTCCAGCCTGTAAAAGTACCTCTATGTTAGCCAATGTATCCATACACACAAGCATTTACAGTTGAACTGTATTAGAAGAGGAACGTTTACAGGCTGAAAAAAAAACATCACCAGCATGTACAGGCGAGAAGCTTATGGGCAGAAAAAGCGCTTGACATGCCTTAACATGCCTAAACACTAGATGCATTTAGTGCTTGAACTTTCATTCCTTCCAATGGCCACAATATATGAATATTCTGACCAATGGAATCCATAAACACTCAAACGCAGCTTTATATGAACTTTTTAAGCTGATTTTTTTCTGCCAGGAGTAAAAGACGTTCAGAGGAGAAAATCAAACACTCTGTGTGTGTGTGTGTGTGTGTGTGAGACCTTACACAAGTTATCAGTTAAACCCAAACGCAAAGATTTATTATATTGCACCTTACCAATTCTTGGATGTGATGGTTGTACTTCCTTTTTTTTGTTTTATTTCTTCTATTTTCATATGGTGATTTAGCCAGCAACTCTGCTGTTTTTCAGAAGTTCAAGCTCTTCTAGTAGAATGTATCAGTTTACATGAATGAATGAGACAAACCATTTACCACTGGCAGGGGTGATTAAAATGATCAGCTTTTATTTATTCATGTGAAACCTTTATCCTGAAATGAAAAAACTGTTTGTTGTGTTTGATTATAAAGTGTTAGGCCCCTTTCACACGGGCAGACCGCCTGTCCATTTTTCATCCCTCCGTTGTCAGATGAAAAATAAACAGCAATGTATTTTCATATGGACCAATGGATGTGAATGGATGATTATCTGTTTACCATTGATTTACATCTGTGTCTGTTGCGGTCTGTTTTTCTAAACGGACAAGGGTACGTCCAGATCTGTTGAAATGGATGCCATCTGTTTACATGTGTTCCATTTATATGTCCATTTTTAGGCAAGAAACATTTTTTATTTATACTTTTGTCACCTCTAATTGGTCTCTGCAAGGCCCCTTTCACATTGACGTTTTGATGGGGTCCACCTGCCCATTTTTCACGTGGACCCGATTGGAACTTTTATTCTCCTCTATGGAGCGGCGGGTGTAAACAGACTTGTGTTCATTTACACTCGCCGACATCCAATCCGATCTGATCCGCCAAAAAGAGGTGGATGGGAATCCTGCCGCTCCATAGAGGAAAATAGAGGTTCCGATCAGGTCCACCTGAAAACAGGCAGGTGGATTTGATCAGAACATCCGTGTGAAAGGGGCCTAATACATTTAACACTCTCCCAGACTGCGGTCTGCTGTGCACCCTGTGCTCATTCATCCAAAGTGGTGTCTCATTAAAACAAGAGGTGTCTTACTGGCCAGATCACCAGGTGAAAACAGAGGAAAAAAGGTAAATAAAAGAAAACTGATACAGCCACCACATCTAATAATTGGTAAGCTGCCATACACTAATACATTTTTGTAGGTGAAGTATGGTGGCTGCCTTTCCTCCAAAAATGCTAGTATTCTGGTTGTTATACTGATATGAATACTGCCTCTACTGCTTCTCCCTTGAAAATGCTGTCTGTCTTTCTGTCATGGTAATGTTTTTTTGCTTGAGCACTTTAAATCAGTGACCAGGATCAAGCCAAAAAAAGGTTAGCAGCACGATTCTTTGCAGCTCAGACGTATTGAAACCAACTACAGCGAGTTAAGTAGCATTTTCAGAAGGAGGCCAGCAATGGCATCCTCCATATTTTGTCCTTTAATTCATAAGGTTCCTAGAAGAAAGCCTGTGATATTGGATCTGGCTTCAGTCCTATCTTAATCACTTATCGGAAACAGCAAGTGAAGTCAGAACTTCAGAACAGCATAATTGTCCTGAGTCAGTGACTTCAGCTAGAATAATTGGGAAAATGCACACTTTGGGATGGCAGAACCACCTCTATCCCAGTGAATGGATGGTATTTTGGTCTCATAGTTATCCATCTCTACTACATATTTTGTAAACAGGTGCAATATAAAACTATTTTAGGCCAAGCCACAAGCTGATTTGCGGTGTCCACAAGAGCACGTTCTGAAAATCCTCTGGCTGTCCCAGCCTATCATGGATCTGTAATAAAGAGATGATGATACATACTGAAGCATATCACAGGCATGAGATCCTTCTTCAACCTTAAATTATTACAGCTGCTTTCCCACAATCCTCTCCGCCTACAATCCTGACATAGGTGGAGCATTGCTAGTCACTTGTGTTTTATCCGGGATATTCACTGGTAACCTCACATGTTCTGCATTGCTGCAGAGATACGTGGTTTAACAATCCCTGGGGGTTTGAAGATAAACTGCAGGCAGATATAAGACCCACCGTTCACTTAGATATGAAGCCATTAAAATAATTAAATATAATCATGCAAGTAAATTTTCTGAAAACTGCTTTTAGATATTACTTCTCCAAATTCCCTGATTACGAGAAATCAACCTGGTGTTGAAAGGTTCAACACTGTGAATTAATCAGGGTCTATTTAATTTCATAATGTCATCTTTGTAACATGTTTCAGGCATCAGGGAAGGAAGAGAGGTGGTTAGGTAAAGGAGGAGAGCGCAGGGCCCGGGGCCAGTAGGAGGCCCCATAAGATGCCCCTGGTACCTTTTTCATAGACTTTTTTGAGTTTGGACAAAGACACAGGGGCCCCATGATCCCCTATTGCCCGGGGGTCCCATGAGTTGTCAGTCCGCCCCTGCTGTTGTGTTTTTATTTTTGCTTAGACTCCCCCTCCCTCACCTCCTGTCTTGATAAAAGGTTCTTTACTATGGCTGAGCTCAGCCATGTTTAGACCCGAGTCAGGTCTGAACCTGCCAGGAAGCTGTCAAAGCTGAAGCCAATCATGGGCAGTGGGGATGTGCAAGAGAGATGTATACGTACAGCTGCGGGGTGGTAAATACTGCTGCCACCTAAGATGGGCTATCGGCTTTGACAGCCTCCAAGCAGGATAGCTCAACCGGGTTCAGACTCATGTCAGAACACGCCTAAGCCCATCACTAGCCTTTATCCTTTCCTACCCTGTTCAAATTTATAGAGCAGGCAGAGTTTCACTTTTAAGAGAACATGGACAGTGGAAGCTCTGCCCAAGAAGGCAAGTAGAGGACAAAGAACTAGCCACCAGTTCTGCCTGTAGACTTCAGATGATGTTTTCCCCATTACTGACTTACTATAGACTGTGCCTTTTGCAGGTGCAGTTGCTCCAGAGTGTAGTCAGTGAGAGGCATTCTGCTGACTTCAATCATCTAATCATGTACAAACAAAATGCTGTTCTTATTTTCCTTGCATGTGATTGAGTATTCTTTGCAAATTGAAGCTTCACCTCATTGACTAAGCTTTGGAGCAACTGAACTTGTGGAGTCCAATTGCACTTGCAAAGTGCGCAATCTAGTTGCCAATTCAATACAAGAGAGCCCTGCTCTTTAGAGCTTGCAATCGAATGGGTCAAATGATACAAAAGGTAATAACTGTTAGAGATGTGTTGATGGAGAAATGCATATAGAAAGTAATAGTATAGTTTATTATTCAAAGGCAGGATATGCCTCTTCAAAGAGATGGGTTTTCAGGGATCACTTACAGACAGAATGGGAGATAGTTGGACAGATTGGGGTAACGAGTTCCAGAGGATGGGAGAGGCTCTAGAGAAGTCCTAGTGATGAGCAAAGGAGGCGGTGACATAGGAGCTGGAGAGCAGGAGGTTTTGTGAGAAACAGAGAGGACAGTTTGGTTGGTATTTTGAGAAGAGATTGGTTATGTATCTGGAGACAGTGTTGTGGATGGCTTTTCAGGAGCAAACTGACAACTCATGGGGCCCCGGGGCAATAGGGGATCATGGGGCCCCTGTGTCCTTGCCCACACTAAAAAAAAAAGCCTATAAAAGGTACCAGGGGGCATTTCATGGGGCTCCCTACTGACCCTGGGCCCTTGGGGAGTGCCTGAGTTCTTGAATGGTCAGTCCGCCCCTGTGGCCTCGTATGTTGTAGCTGGTATTTAGTATTTTATTCATTGGGTGAGTGGAAGCCAGCTGAGGGATTGGCAGAGTGAGGTAGAGGACACTGAACGGTTGATAAGGTGGATGACTCTAGTAGCAGCAATAATGACGTACTGAAGGGGGTGTAACCTGTGTAAAGATAAGCACATAAGGAGGGAGTTGCAGTAGTGAGAGTTAGGCAGGGTGTGAATTAGTGGCTTTGTGGTGCCGTTGGTTAAGGAGAGGCATATTTTGGGGCTGTTACAGAGCTTTAGTTGGCAAGGTTTAGACAGTGAGTGGATCTTGGGCCAAAAGGAGAGTTCAGAGTCCAGGAATACACCTTGCATCCTGATATGCAAGGAGGGACTGATAGTTACCATTGATCTTGATGGAGACGTCAGGGGATGGGGTTTGGGGAGGC